TGTGTGTGTGTATGTGTGTGTGTGTCTGTGTACTTTCTCCACAGAGACATAAATAGATAAGTGTAATAAGTAAAAGCTGGAATCATTAATATGATTGTTATGAATTATTATTGAAAAATATTTCAAGCTCAAACATCAAGAAATGAATTAAATCACATTGTCAACAGTTCCCTCAATAAAGTAAGCCATGTCACTTGAGGTTGTACATGCTCTGTGTGTCTGACTTCAGCAATTCTTCTCTATCCTGAAGTTAGCCGTTCTATTCAGCAAGTTGATGGCAATCTGAGGAGCTCCTCAGTAAGAGCCTAAACTATTGTGGTGAGATTTTCTTCACAGAGCTGGTTCTCTGATCCATTATTTCCTGGCAGTAATTTATTATCAGCTATGTGTTGGGCACAGATGCAAGAGAAAAAATGGAAGTGTAAAAATGACTAAAAACAGCCTGTTCTCAAGTAGCTCACCAAAAAAGACTTAGCCGTCAATCAGCAATAGCAATATAAGTTGTCAAATAAGATGATATTCATCTGGTGTGTTAGAAGAAGGCACCAGGTATTGTAACCTCACAGCCTGGTGCAGCTGGGGAGACCTCTTACAGAACCAGGTGTGTGAACTGGCCTTGAAGCAGAGACACTTCAGTCAAACTGAGAAGGGGAAGAGAGAGGGGACCTATGTCTTGCTGCCTTTATTTCCTTTGCTGTTTTGTGAGCATGTGATAAAGATAATTCCCAGGAGGCTAGGATTCTATACCCGGTATTGGCTACTGGTAGCTACAGAGTCTTAGAAATAATAACCCATGTTTTGGCACAGCATTATTTACAAAAAATAGTCCCAGATGGAATCTTCTGAAATGAACTCCATGTCCAATTTGTTCCCTGTCACTCACTTTCTAGTTCGTTGACCTCCAACATCTAACACACATACTTTGTTCCTTCTCATTTTGTTTTCCACCTTCCCTAATTCTTTCCACTTTTTTCTTTTCTGTTTCTTTATTCACTCCTATTTTCTTTTTATTTTAAAATAATATCTAGGGCAGAGGAGATGGCTCCGCTGGTTGGCGAGGTGCTTGGTTTGTAAGCAGGACGGCCTGAGTCTGATCCTCAGACTCCATTTAAACATTCTGGTGGGGCGATGTTCTTATAATCCCAGCACTGGGAAGGCAGAGATGGAATTAACCCAGGGACTCATTGGGTAGTTCCAGGACAATGGCGGACCTTGTCTCAAAGAACAGGTGGTCTGTGTTTGTGAGAAAGATACTTGAGGTCATCAGCCTGCGCCCATCGGCATGCACACACACATGCATAGGCACTGAAAAGAAAAGGGAAAGCAAGAAAACAATTCTACAAATGTTGTGTGGTGTCTTGAGAACAAGGATTAAAAGCGTTTCTCCGAATAACAATGGACAAGGATACACTTCACAGACATGGCCATCACTTAGTTAAGAAGTTCTTTTAAGGAGAGTTTGGAGGGCGATATATATATCCCCAACTGAGTATACTGTCTTTTTCTCCAATCCAATTAAAGCACCATGACAGGAGAGCTCAGGCTCTGTCTCTGTAACAAAGGAAAGCTGACCAAATGGAAGGCAAGTTTGACCAAAATGGTTCACAATAGGAGAATGAGCCATGACTGGAGCAGTATGTGGTTTTTTTTTTTTTTTGAACACTTACTTTGTAGATCCATCTAATGAGTAAAATATCCATGCATTTATTTGAATAGTGTGGGGCCCGTATGTTCCTCTCCTGGAGAAGTAGGACTTACAGATCTTGGATCTCTTAGTCGTTAATTGGTCTCAGTGATTTAAGGTAGCCAGCTGTCAAGCTATTTGACACTTTGCTGAATGAAACATTTTCATGCCTGTGTTCATTTCATATCTTACTAGGCATTTTAGTGTCATGTTAATATTCAAAATAGGTTTATTTCTGGGCTGAAGAGATGGGTTGGTGGCTAATATGTTTGCCATGAAAGCATGAAGACATGAGTTTGGATCCCAGATTCTGAGTAGATGCTGGGTAGATGTGGCAGCTTACTTGTAATTTCAGCTTTAGAAGGTGAAGACTAGCCATCTGATGAGCTCTGGGATTGATTGAGAGACCCTGTTTAAATGATTAAGGTGGAAGAGTGATTGAAGATAATTCTTAGCATCATCCTCAGGCTTCCAGGATACACAGCGCACACACACACACACACACACACACACACACACACACACACACACACACACCACATGCATATGAAAATGGGCACAGTAGATTTATTGATTATTTGGCAGCCTATATTCACTGAGTATTCAAGAAGACACATAGTAGTAGGTAGCAGTTTTTCTCATTAAAAGCTCAGAGCACAGGACCTTCAAAATTCAGTGAAATACTGAGTGTTTGAACATAGGTAAACTTTCTGACTTGACTACCATGTTTCTGAGGTTTTGAAGAGGATCCAAATATTGTTATTTGTTTTTGTTCTTTTGGGGGACCCACCAGCTCTCAAATAAATCACACATGGAGGCTTACTCTTAATTATGAATGTTCTGCCTTAGCTTGGCTTAGTTTCTAGCCAGCTTCCCTTAACTTAACTTATTTTGGCTATCTTTTGCCTCTGGGCTTTTTTCTGTTCTCTTACTTCTGTAAATCTTACTCTTACTATGTGGCTTGCTGTGTAGCTGGGTGGCTGGGTGGCTGGGTGGCTGGGTGGCTGGGTGGCCCCTGGAGTCCTCCTCCTTCTCTGGCTACTTCCTTTCACTCTTCCATCCCTTTTCTTTCCCCTCCTCCCAGATTTCTCCTTCTATAGATCCTCTCTGCCTGCCAGCCCTGCCCATCTCTCTCTCTTGCCTGGCCATTCAGTTCTTTATTAGACCATCAGGTGTTTTAGACAGGCACAGTAACACAGCTTCACAGAGTTAAACAAATGCAACATAAACAAAAGCAACACACCTTAAAGTAATATTCTATAACATCCAAATGCTTTCTTCAGTTTTATGTTTTTAATATTCTCCATCATGCCACTTCCCTAATTAACAGGATTATCCAATAGGATGGTGACATAAAACTGAACCATGAACTACCTTCTCGGTCTTATGCCATGGGAGATATAGGGTGACCCAGAGACCAATGCGTCTAGACATTTGGATTTTATTGGCGAATAATGTTAAAAATGGAAAAGAGCTGCCAGATCTTTTGTTTGGTATGGGATTGCATTAAAAAATGTAAACTCCCCTGAAACAAATGGCTATGTATTACCATTTGTCAAAATTCTTAAATTATTGCCATATCAAAACTTATATAACATTTTAACATAAATGGTGTCTGCCTCAAGAGAATGTCCTTACTGGTGACGTGACCTTGGTACTGTGTCTGTGGATTGATGAAATGTCCTTCAGGACTGTTACTTGCCCTTAGAGAGCATGCTGGGAAGCAACCTGTCTGTCACCACCCATGGGGCAGGCAGCCTTTGCTTCTCTCTCATGAACTCAGAGGCTATAACTATATTATTGTCCCACTCGGTGAAGCTGTATTAAACATTGTAAGTGATTGGGCCTGGAAAGATGGCTCTCTCGGTAAGGATGCTTGCTGCCAAGCCTGACAATCTGAGCTCAATGCCAGGAACCCACGTGGTGGAAGGAGAGAACGGACTCCTCTGACCTCTAGAACATGCTGTGATGTCTGGACTGCCCCCTCCCAGTCACAAAATAGTAACATGTTAACACTGTAATTAAACTTTTTTATGTGATTTATGTTTAGCATTTTTTTTAACCTGATAGTTATGATAGTTGGTTATGTGCTAAGGAACAGGTCAATGTTACTAAAAGGTCTCATACCTGCTACGAAGTATTCTCCTGGGCCACACCCCAAACCTCTGCTTTCTTTCTATTGATTACCTTCCTCAGTTGTTTTTGCTCATTTCATTGTGAATTCAAGGAGAGAGGACAGGTTGTCATTGTACCCACAAGCACTCTAAAGAACTGTTGTAAGAGAGTCTTTAAATGGTTGGAGATGCTTAAGTTTTTAAGTCAAAATTTTCGATATGGAGATTTTTTCAGATCTTATATGGTGAACTCAAAATTATACCAATCAGTTTTAGAGACTGGTTCCTGGTGACTGCCATACAATAATAAGAATCATACATTTGTCCTTTGACTTTTTTATTCCTAGTCACTTTTTCAAAAGAGTTCTGGGAGAATTTTAATAAAAGCACAGTGAAGAGAATGGTAAATTTAATCCCAATGTCTCTCTTCCTCCTTTTCCTCCTGATTTTGTTGGTGGCAAATAGGCTGCACGGCGGGCGTCTTCCTCTTCACCCCGACTGAGAGATTCATCATGCTCTTTCTCCTCTCTGGAAAATACCGTAAAGGCACCCAGCCGGGCTTCTTCCTCGGGATCTAAAGAAAGACAGTCCTGGCTCGACATGGTGAACAGCACGCCTGCTGCTGAAGAGGTGGGGCAGCCCCTGACATTTACTGTACAGGTCCACACCCCTGCATCCTCAGAGGCAAGCAATTGCCGGGCCCCAGAAAACAGCTCCGTCATTTCGGAAAGCGGGTTTTTGAACTCTCTATCTAGCGATGACACCTCTTCGCTGAGCAGCAATCAAGACCATCTAACGGTTCCATCCGACAGAGCCGCCGGATCAAGGATGATGGACAGAGGTAAACCAGGAAACTGCTTCCTCTTCTTTACATGGTGAATATTTGTGGGCGTATTATAGAACTCCGCTATAAATTTGTAACTAAAATGTTTCAACTCGTGAATGGCGGTTTGATGATTAGTCACATGGGGCTTAGCCTCCAGCTCCTTTTGTAGATTTTGCCTGTGGCAGCTCCTGTTGCCAGGCCACTAATTATCTATTGCGTCAGTAACCAAGTGCTTTAGACCAGTGGTTCTCAACAATGCTACCATCCTTGAATACAGTTCCTCATGTTGTCATGACACCAAGCATCATTTTTTTCGTTGCTGCTTCACAACTGTAATTTTGCTATTGTTATGAATCATAATGAAAATATCTGTGCTTTTCAATGGTCGTTGGCAAACCCTGTGAAAGGGACCTTTGACCCACAAAGGGGTCATGACCCATAGGTTGAAAACCACTGTTTTAGACTATGAGGCATGTAGGTATGTGATCAAAATGTAATACCTCTCCATCAGCTTGAGAATGAACTCCCCCACTATTTTGGTTTCATAGATTATGCTCTGGGGGCTTGTGGTAATTGAGACCCAGGGATCAGTGAGATGGATTTATATCACTTGGATCTTGTCAAATGGGTTTAGAGCAGCCATCTTCCTGTTGTAGAGGGCCTATCAGTGATCCCCTAAGGGCTTCTATGTAGTTAATGGAAGGCAAAACCTTCACATACATTTTGGAGGGCAGCACCTTTAATAGAGAGGAGGCAATGGCTTTTCTTCCTGGAAAACGGTTTTCTTTTAACAAAGGAAATAGTTGTATGTAGAAATCATCAATGTGTCTTTAAATATTATACAATAATCTTCATTTTTGATTCAGGACAAACTTGTTTCTATTATTATCCATTCATGACGAGTCTTTTCTAATTGTGTCTCATTCATTCTGGTGTAAAACAAGGTTATCTGATATATCAGTGAGCTACTGGAGAATGATGGATTTGCACTGTAAATTTTCAGTGTACTACTGGAAATTGACTTGCTAAATTCCTGCACTAACTTGCAGAAGTTGCCCAATGACATGAATGATGACCCTTTCTCCCCTACTCTAAGCAAGGAGGCTGTTCTTAAGTTCTCAAGTTTGGGGGCTAGAGAGATGGGTCAGTAGTTTAGATCACTAGCTGCTCTTTTGTAGGACCAAGGTTCAGTTCCTAGCACCCACATTGGGTAGCTCACAACCACCTGTACCTCCAACCCAAGGGGATCTTATATCTTTCTCTGGCTTCTGTGTGCACCCATCTGCACTGTACACACACACACACACACACACACACACACACACACACACACACAGAGGCATACACATATACACATGAATAGATAATAATGTCAATCCTTTTTAAAAGCATCTATTTTTAGATATACTCTATTAATTTAATTTTTCAAAGAGAATAATTTAGGCCAGGGATCACAGCTGTAGGCCAGGGTGCAAGTGTGTATGTATGTTATTTTTATACATGTGAATTTGAACAGTCAGGCTAGTAACTCATACTCAAAGTCACCCCAATTGTCATTGCTCTCTAGGGCTTTCTCTGTGGATGCTTTACATTAAATAGTATTTTATATTGATATTTCCAATCTGGGCCAATGACTCACTTTTCTTTTGTGTGTGTGTGTGTGTGTTGGTGATATTTAATTTCTTTTTTTTTTTCATTAAGAATGTTTTTTTCAAGTCGAGCAACTTCTTGAGGTGGTTGAGTAGGTAGGATGGGTAAGAGACTGGAAGCATCACCACTGAGGAAGAGGGCACAGATGAGACTTGTCTATGAGGGATGGAAGGAGTGTACTTCATCTGGCCACAAATATTTGAGATGTTGTGCAAACAAAGTATTGGGTTTAATTGTATCTCCATGGGTTTATACAGTTGAGGTCAGCAGTATAATCAAATGGGAAGTATAAAAATGAGTTAAGAAACTTATTTTTTTGAAGCAATAAGCTGTTGAAAGTAAAGTAGGTAACTTGTACTTGTATGCCCTCATCATTGGAGGTGTTACCCATTTTAAGATGACCATTTTCATTGAGTGTAGAGTGTGTATTGCATATTGATAGTATTTTTGTTCTTGTGACAACACGAAGAATTTTCAAGTGTTGATCTTAAGTGACCTTCAGCTTGGTGCTTACAAGATGCAGATATGGTTTTGCATACATTCAAGAATATATGGGCAGCACAAATTAGTCTTGAAGGTTTTTTGTTTGTTTCTAAAGGACACAAAGTTGGGAGGGTAGGGATGAGGACATGGAGCTTGGAAGAGCTGTGGAAGAGGAAGTAAAGATGATCAAAACACCATACAAAACTATCATAAAAATAAATAAATAAATGAAAGAAATGTAAAAAAAGAAGATATAGATGTTAAGAATGGGAGAAGCAAGCTATTGTTCCCCTTTAAGAACTTACTCTAGCCATTCGATTAGAAGGAGAAGTAAAGAAAGGGTTGACAAGATGGCTCAGCAGATAAAGTGCTTGTCTATGAACCTGACAGCCCAAGTCTGAGCTCCTGGACAAACATAAAGGTGGAAGAAAGGAACTGACTCTAAAACGTTGTCCTTTTAATCTGCACATATATTGTCACACATATGTGCACACCTATACCTTATAAAATGCAATAATAAATAAATAAATAAATAAATAAATAAATAAATAAATTTAAAAAAAAAGATGTAGAAATAACCCTCTCGTCTCTGTGACAGTCAAGACTTCCAAAGCATCAGAGATACTAAAATCCCATTTACATTCTTTCCCAGGAGATAGCCCTGCAGATTGAGTTTCCCATTAGGATTACTAAACAGAGTCATGGGAAGATGCATGTGTTGCTCATCCTTGTCTAATGCCATACTGGGAATTCATGTGCTGAGGAATCCAGCTGGGAGCCAACAGCTCTTTTAATCTAAGAATAAAGAGACCTGGTGGTAATCAGTTTTGAATTACACACAGAAATACCAACAAAATCTAGGTGATTTTTCAAACAGCTCAATGGACAGGTGTTTCTCATGGTAGAGAGGAAGAGAAAATGAAGGTATTTTCCTTCACTGGTTTGTTGGCAGTTGCCATATGTTACAGAATTCTTGCTGCTGATTTTCTCCTGCTGTTGGGGATTTGGTTTCATTCCCAGAAGAGCTGAACCACATCATGTGGTCTCCATAGAAACGGCAGCCCAATCTTTTCTTGCCTTTGCTGTGATTCGCTGTTAAGTAATCAGATTGGGTGTTGTGCATGTATATGTTTGCCTGTCGGAGAAGAAGGTAGCTTTTTTGTGTGTGACTTCTAAAAATTATTGTTTTAACTTTTTAAGGTGGGGAAGAGTCTCTGAAATTTTAGTGTCTAAAATACTATGCTGAGGGTTTTAGATGGGGCTTGAATTTCAGTGTCATCCATGAGAGGAATTACATTTTAGAAGGTTAAGATCTAGTCTCAAGATGCATTTTCTGGGGAAAGAGGCTTTTATCCTAGAAGAGAATCTTAAAGGTTAATAACTGAGTTCTGAAAAGAGTAGACAGCGTGTATTATAGCCTTTCTTTTATTTAGACAATGGAAGAAATATTTTGCAGTTGGTATGCAATTAAAATTGTGGTTGCTAGAATTTTATTCTGAATTCAAATATCCTTTTAGACATTTCTCCCTCCAGTGTAAGCCATTAGAAAAGGGGGAGGGGATGTTAATGACACCTAATGACACTGGCTTGTCTTTCTCTACTGCAACTTTCAGATTGCTACAACTCTAGGGATTCTCCACCAAGCATTTCAACAAAGCACAGCTGGAAAAGAGGTGGTGGGGTTAATGGCATGCTCCTCTCATCTGTTTTTACTATGGGCTCTCCCTTTCTTTGGGGAGTGATTTTCTGACCATTGAAATATAAGATTAACAAGTAGATTAAAAAGAAACTAAGTCCAATACTGAACTCAACTCAATTTAGCATTTCTGTTATTATTATGAAGATGGTTCTGACATGCATTCACGTACTTTGTGCTAACACAGCTCTAACATCCAAAGATGACTGTGCTAAAGCATCTTCATATCTAGTGGGGTGAGTGGGAGGCTAAGACATGATTAACAAAAGAAAGCAAGGCAGAAAAGTGTCACAAAGGAGACACACAGGAATTTACAAAAGCAGGTACACAGAATACAGTCACACCTAAGGAGTCCTGTGCATGGAGGTGGGCCATGGGAAAGGGAGGTAGGAGGGAAATTGGGACATTATTGAATGATGGACTAGGCATCATTATTCATCAGATAAGGCATGACCATTTGTAACTGAGGTGATGATATAGTTGGACCTGTGGTTTCAATGATCTCCTTTAGTCTTAGATCACAGGCTATCATAGGATAAAGGGAGGCAGGAACTAAGAGAGGTTAGGAAGCCTTTGTGGTACCCAGGGTAGAGGTAGAAACTGGAAACAAAGGAGAGATGGAGGATTCTGTGTCTTGCCTCATCTCTGTCATTGTGCACTTGGAATTTAATTTAGTCCATTGAGTATTTCCCAGTGATATTATTTTGTAGTAGAATGAGAAATGATCTTAAAGTGGTGATAAATATTTACTAATAAGAATATCTTGTATATGTGACAGCTGGCTGTCATGGCTTGGATCTCAGGCATGGATGACTGACTCACTAGGTCTTTTGTTGCTCCCACTTAGGTGCCAAAGATCTCTCTTAATTACCATAAAATAAACAGATTAGGTTGCCTGCAAATCCATCCTTGTCATATAACTAGGTCATTTGTGGTACTTAGATTTTCATCCCCTTTTTAAAAATTCTTTCTTAGTTCTGTACATTTTGCTGAGGCTGAGGAAGTGGGAGTGGGAGGCTGTGGCATCTCACTGGAACAGGGATGCTGAAGCTGGTGATGGGCTAAGGAAGTGGGAGTGGAAGGCTGTGGCATCTCACTGGAACAGGGATGCTGAAGCTGGTGACAAGGAGTGAAATCTAGATTCCAGAAGCAGGAAAATGGGGGGCAGCTGGAAAGAAGTAAAAGC